AAATAATTCGGGAGCGGGGCGGGGCGGGGCAGCGAGGCATGTGGCGCGTGCGGGGCCCGGGATGCTGTGGGCAGCTGCCACTCGTGTGCGTGCGTAGCCAACACCTTAACACACTGGCCACAGCCACAATTTGAGCTAATACTGTGGCTCGTTGGTGTTGAAGAATTGGCACGGTGGCTATTTCCCTTCCCCCCCCCTATCGACAGCAGCAGGCAAGCAGCTATTTGCGCCCCCCCCCCCCCCACACACCCGGCGGTGGGGAGACACCGTGGCTGCTGCTGCCTGTGCCCATGGCATCTGCAGTGCCACATGACAGTCTGTTGTGGACCGTGAAGACCCCCTGATCAGGGGCTGCTCTACAGTGGTGCGGGTCTGCTCACACAGCACACCCTGGATCTGCAGTGCTGCTGCTAGGGGCTGATCAAGATCTCAGCCTCCTCCCTCCTCTAGTTGGCTTGCTGCAGTGAAGGCCAAGACCCTTCTGGTCGTGGTATACCTTGTGCCCTACTAAACCACTTTGTCTACCTTTTCTCTCTCCTCTTACTCACCCCCTCTACTTCTTCCTCTTCTGCCTCACTCACTTCCTTCTAATCACTCTCACCCCTCATACCCCTCTCCCCACCCCACCTTTTCTCCCACCTCCCACTATTTTGTTCTATTTTATTTATTCATTTTCTTTTTTTTCTCCTCTTTTTTCTTTGCTTCTTGATCCCTCCCCACCTTTCCCATCCGTTTCTCTCCCATTCTCTCACCCTGCTCTCCCCCAACTACAATCCCATCACTTCCCCCATCTCCCCCCTTTACTCTTTTTTTCTCTCTCACCTATTTTTCCATTTTTCCTTCACTTTTTCATTCCGCTTTGAAATTTTCTGTTTTTCTTTTCTTGATCTTTCTTTTGATTTATATTTTCTCCTTTTTCCAAAAATTCGAATTATCTCATTCCCCACCTTCTTTTCTCATTTTCTGATTTATTTCATTTTCTTTTTTATTTATTCTGAAAATTCAAATTTCTTTGCAGCACCCTTAAATCTGATTAGGAGTTAGTTATCTTGCTTTCGGCACACATTTTGAACCCGTGGGGGTAACGAAGTGCTGCCGAAATTTTCTCATTTTACTTAGCCTTTCTTCTTGACGGCACACGTCGACCCCATGGGGGTAACGAAATGCTGCCGAAATTTTTGAAAAATCCGACACTTCATTTTTCTTCACCTCCTCATCTATGTATTTATTTATTTATTTCTTTATTTATCTCTTTATTATTTCTTTATTTATTTTCTGAATGTTTTAATTTGCGACATTTTGAAACTTAGTGTGCTTATCTTGGTCTCTCCCTTCCCTTGGCACATTCTTGACCCCATGGGGGGTAGGGAAATGCTGCCGAAAATTCTAAAAAAATAAATATTAATTCTCTTTTCACATTTTGTTTTCTTATTTCTTTAATTATTTTTATTCTTTATTTATTTATTTTATATTTCCTCTCGATATTTCACTGTTTATTTATCTTTCCTTCCGCCTCCCCCCATTCTTGCTATTTCATTTTCTTGATTAGGTTACCGGTACCCTATCCTAACCACTCAAACTCCCCTCCCCCCATTCTTGTTATTTCATTTTCTTGATTAGGTCACCGGTACCCTAGCCTAACCACTCAAACTCCGGTTAGGGTTTTCTTAGGGTTTTCTTAGGGTTTTCTAAGGTTTAGGGTTCTCCTAACCCCCTTACTTTCCCTTCTCATTCGAGCACCCTGAATCCGAACCACCCCTCCCCCTTTGACGGCGCTCGCGCTCGATTTACTAGTGCCGCTCGTCGCCTTCTATCGCAGACCTCCCCCTACGCCCTCCGCTCACGCAGACCTCCTCCGGCCCTCTCTAGTCCGGCCCGTTACCTCCCCATGGCTGACGGCGTGTCACAAGCCGTCGAGGCGACGACGACCTCGGCATCGAGCTCCACACCAGTGCCTGCGGGCCCAGGCCATCACCCCCAGGGGGATCTGCACACCTTCCTTACCTCCCTCCTCGCACCCATCCAAGCGCAACTGGCGACCCTTGCGCCCTTACAAGCGCAGGTGGCGACTCTTGCCACTGACATGCGGCAACTTCAGGACGCTGCCCGTCCTTCCTCCCCCAACTCTCTCTCTTCTCCTGGCTCCCAGTCCGGGTCCCCCGTCCTCCGACATGGTGGCCACGATGGAGCTTCCTCCTCCGCTGCCCCCGACCCGACCATCATGGTGACCGTCCACGCCTCTAGGGCGACAGCCGCCACGAATTAGGCCTTCCCTCACTCTACGGGCGCACTCGCCCAGATTCCGGTCACTATGACCACGAGACCACAACCCGCTGCCATGGTCTCAGTTTTTATGGGTGCCCCGCTTCTCCCTCCCCTTCGCACGGCCGCAGCGCCACTTGGCTCTCCCCCTTGTGGGATGCCTCACGCCGCTTGTGCATCTACTCCTGCCACCCCTTGCTCAATCTACGTTCGACGTCTTGAGGACGAGCTTGCCCAGACCCGGGCCGACCTCGCCCTCTTACGCCTTCAGCCACCCCTACCCACAGGTGGTCGTGCCTTCGGGCGCACCCCCTTCTTCCTCTACTCTTCCTTCCATGCAGGCTCGCTTCCCTCGCCCTGCACCCTACCCACCCCCATCCTACCTTCTTCCTATTTCCTCGGTTGCTGCGACCTCTTCTACTGCAGATCCCTCGCAGCATGCCGCTGTTGCCCCCGTCACTCCCCCATGCGCCCCGGGCGTACAGTTAGTTGCGCCCCTTTCTCCAGGACCTGCGCCAACTTACTCAGTCGTAGCACAGACCTCTGCTCCTCGATCCCCTCGCCGCCAAAATGGTGGCGCACCACTCGTCCGCCTGACGGACATTGCCTTGTACGACGGTACAGGGATACGTGTGTCTCGGTGGCTGCAGTCTGCCACCCGCACGCTCCTGCTCATGGGTGCCCCACCCGACACGTGGGTGACTCACCTCTCCACGCGCCTGCATGGAGGTCCTTTCGACGCTTGAGAGGATTTCTACTCGCACTCCCTTCGTGAGGGTCGGACCCCGACCTTCATGGATTTTCAGGCGTTCCTCGAGGATCGCTTCGGAGCCCGACATGACATCACTGACGCCTTCGAGCGTGTCGTCAGCACACGCTGGTCCGACTCTGGTGGTGTTGCCGGCCTGGACCGCCACATCCAGGTCTTTCAGGACGCCGGCCTCATTTGTGACGAGGCATTCCTCCCCGAGGCTGCCCTCATCGACCGTTTCTTGGCCAACCTTTCCCTTGAGTACCGTTCCGAGTTATGGCGGTACGAGTTCACATCGGCCCTGCAGGCTTACGAGGCCGCCTGGACCCATCAGCGGATGCGGGCCCATCTTCACCCCGCTCCCTCCTCCCAGCCTCAGCGTACTGGCTACGCCCCCTCCTCCTCTCACGACACTTCCCAACGTCATTCCCCTTTCTGAGGCCGCCCCCGCCATTCCGCACAGCAGGGCCGCCACTTCTCACGCTGCTTCAGTGCGCTCGAGTATGGTGAGCTGGACGATGTTGCCCCGTTGTCGCCTGAGGGTGACCATAGCGACGACCTCGGCCGCCCACTACCACCTGGAGGACTCTACCCTCCCTATAGCTGAGCGCCTCCAGCTCGCCCTCTCCACCCTCTCTCGGGCACGCAGCCACCCTAGTCATGTTGGCGCGTCGCCCCCTGAGGTCCCTCAGTAGGACCTCCCTCAGGGCTTTGTCCCTCCTCGCGGTGTCCTTTCCGCCAAGGAGTGCACGACCATTTGGGTCGGCGTGGGTGTTTGCGAAGTCGCCAGGACGGTCATACCTCCTTGCGGTGCCCTTACACCGCCGCCCTCGACCGCCACTACGCTGACCTTTCCCTCCAGCGTCGTGCTCAATCCCCCCCCAGCGCCTTGCATCCCCGTGGTGCCTCCTAGCTACGATGCAGTGTACACCTGCGCTCTCCTCAGTAGTTGGCTTCCCGACATCTCCATCGCGGTTCGGCCCTCTCGCTACTGGAGCTGAGGTATCGCAGGACCCGACAGAGCGTACTCAACCCTCTGTCGCAGTACCGTCTGCGCCTCCGCAGACCATCGTCTCCCCTCCTACCCCTCCGCGACTACCGACGCATCGCGCCATTCGCTCAGCCCGTTGCAGCGAACAACTTGCGACTCGCAAGGACGTTGTGCCCTCTCTTTTGGACTTGAGCATGCTCTAGGCTCGTCAGGAGCGACTCACCCTCCATGTCGCTGCACTGCGTCGCCTTCTCACTATCCTCCCTGACCCTGATCGTACCCTCCTGATCATTCCAGTACGACTGGGGACCTCCACGAGGGTGTACTCAGCGATGTGGGATTCCGGTTCTAAGGGCGACTTCAGTCACCCACGTGTGGTGAAAGAAGCCCACTTACCCACGACAGGGTCTCTGATTCCCATCTCCGTCACCCTAGGGGATGACAAGACCCAGCGCTTCTCCGATCAGACAGTCACCGACCTCCCCTTCTTCCTCACTCTCGAGTTGACTGATCGTCGTCCCCCGGCATCTCGTCGCCACCGCTCCTCTGCACATTTCGATGTGATGGAGACGGGGTACGATTTCATTCTCAGTACTCTACGGTCTCCTCGATTCCGCAGCACCGAGGCTGATTGGGAGACCAACACTCTCGTTCTCAAAACGAAGTGTGGACAGACGTATCATGTACCTTTCATAGGTACCACCGGGACACCACGCCCCGACCCTCCTCCCCCGGAGCCTTCAGTGCCCACACCATCTACTACTATCACCGTCACCTCGCCTCGGCAGTTCGCTCACTTCATCCGACAGGACGACGTCACCTTCTTTACGGTGAACGTTACGGATCTCTTGCACTATGATCCACCCTGTCCCGACGCCGAGCTCATCCTCCTTCTATCTCCATGGCTCCCATCTCTACCTCCCTCCCTTTGTCGTCCATCGAGTCCACCCCGCTGTCGCGCGCTGACGCTAACGCTAACGCTGAGGAACTCGCACGCTATACGGCCGACCTGGAGCCCGCAGTTTGTGACCTCATTCGAGAGTACGACGACGTTTTCCCATCGTTGTTCTCGTACGCCGACATCCCACCGATGCGCGACGTCGAGCACTCCATCCAGCTTGTGCTTGACTATCGTGTTCACCACGAGGCACCCTACAGACTCTCGATCCCCGAGGCCACCGAACTTAAGCGTCGGCTTGAGGAGCTTATGAGACTGGGTTTCATTAAACCCATCAACTCCCCGTGGGGTGCACCCGTCCTCTTTGCTCACAAAGCGGATGGAACTCTCCATCGCTGCATCGACTATCGCGGTCTCAACCGCTACACGGTTAAGAACAGCTACCCCATACCTCGTTCCGACGAGTTGTTCGACCGCCTAACAGGCAACCGTTTCTTTACAAAGATTGATCTTCATAGCGGTTACCATCAAATCCGCGTTGCTGCAGCGGACCAGCCGAAGACAGTGTTCCAATCGTGCTTCGGCCACTATGAGTTTACGGTGATGCCATTCGGCCTCACCAATGCACCCGCTACCTTCCAGAGGGCGATGAACGACATCTTCAGGGACATCCTGGAGCAATACGTTCTCGTTTACCTCGACAATATTCTGATCTACAATTGTACCCTTGAGGAGCATCTCAGACACCTCCGCGACGTCCTTGACCGCTTGCGCAGACATGGCTTCTACGCCAAGCTGAGCAAGTGCCGCTTTGCCCAACACAAAGTGGATTTGTTAGGACACTACGTGTCTGACCAGGGTCTCCACATGAACGACGCGAAGATCACTACTATTGCGGAGTGGCCCGTCCCCACATCAGCCAAGTAGCTTCATAGCTTCCTAAGCCTCATATTCCTACGTCCTTACCTCCACCCTCCTCCGGAAGAACCCGCCATGGGTTTGGACACCCCTCCACAAGGACGCCTTCCGCGCCCTCAAGAAGGTGGTGACATGTGCACCGGTTCTTCACAGTACCGCCACTGCCCTGACTACCGCGACATCCATGCGACCCTTCGGAGTGGCAAGACCGTCCCAAACTACTCTCTAGAGGACAATGGTCTTGTGTACTGGCACGGTTCACAGGGCACCAGACAACCCCGTATTTGCGTTCCCTGGACAGCTACGTGTCCGGGCAGTAGCAGAGTTCCATGACCAGGCAGCCGCCGATCATATGGGCCTCCACAAGACGTTGGCTCGTGTGAGCTGCCTGTACATCTGGCCGAAGCGCAAGGACTTTGTGAAAGACTAAGTCGCAGAGTGTCCCACCTGTCAGGAGGTGAACAGTGCGAACCACCTGCCTTATGGTTTGCTCCAGCCTCTTCCTATCCCTGAGGGTCGTTGGCAGTCCATCTCGATGGACTTTATCGGTCCTCTTCGTCCTCCGACCCCCCGCGGTCATGATGCTATCCTGGTCGTCGTCGACCGCTTTATGAAGTGTGCACGCTTTGTTCCGTGTCGCTATGCCATCAGTGCACGTGAGGTCGCCGACATCGTGTTTGACCGAGTTGTGCGTGACCACGGCTTACCTTTGAGCATCATATCTGACCGTGAACCCCGCTTTACCAGTCGATTCTAGCGACGACTCCACGAGGTTTACGGCATCCAGCTCCGCTTCACCTCGTCTTACCATCCCCCGACTGATGGTCAGACCGAGGTCACGAACAGGACTCTCGGAGATATTCTCCGAAAGATTGTTCGTGACGACCAGCAGTGGGATCTCCATCTTACCCACCCGGAGATAGCCTACAACCACACCGTCTCGCCAACCATGGGGATGTCGCCTTACTATTGCGACCTCAGTTATCACCCTCGTGTTCCCGTGGACTTCCTTAAACCATCACAGATGCACCCCGACACGAGTTGTCCCGCACTGGATGATTGGGTTGCACTCATGACGTCGATCATGAAGACCGCACATGAGCACATAGCCACTTCCAAGACTCGCATGGCAGCATGTGCGAACCGATCGAGGATGGATTATCCATTCAAAGTCAGCGATGATGTGCTTATCGACGCCCGCCACTTACAGCTCGAAGCGGACACGCTTCGCAAGTTTCGGCGTCGCTTCTTTGGCCCATGCCGCATTCTCCAGGTCGTCGGTTCGGATACGGCTTCTAGCCCGGTCAGCTTCCATGTGAAGCTGCCTGACTACCTACGCCAGACTCGTGTGCACGATGTCTACCACGTCTCGTTACTGCGTCCCTATCGCAAACCGTCTAAGCGTTTCACCGGATGACCATACGAGCGCCCTCCACCCATCATGGTGGACGGCCACGAGGAGTTCCTCGTTTCAGACATCATTGGTCGTCGAGTCACTGACGACAACCCTCCTCACGTCGACTATCTCGTACGTTGGAAGGGTTACCCTGATGAGGAGGCTACTTGGGAGCCCCTCGATCACTTGCAGCACGCTTGCATGTTGGTGCGTGCATATGAACGTGCTCGTCGTGCTGGGTTGACTGCTCCTCCCCCCACCCTTTGGTTTGCGACACACTCCTCCTATGACATATGGTTGTCTTGTTGTTTGTTTGTTGCTCTCAGACTGAGGCTACTGCCTCTGACATTTCTAGGATTTAGTTGTTCTGCTTTTGCTGTTCTCAGGACTTATACATTAGTCAGTTGTTTCCATACTGAGGCTACTGCCTCCAACATTCTAGGATCTAGTTGTCATTACTTTCTGCTTTCCTAAGACATGTATCCTAGTTAGTTGCTTCTGCTTTCACTTAGGCTGTTAGCTGTGACATTGCTGTTTTTGTGACATTTTATATCCTAGGTTGCATCGCATGGACTCAATATGGAGCTTGCTCCGCATCCTAGACTACTCGGGTTTTCTTTTCTTTGGTAGAGTTCCGCTTCTTGGCGGAAGCGTGCTTGTTTCTAGGCGATCCATCACAGGTCGAGGATCGTGTAGCGGACCTCTGGTTGGCCTGTGAGACCAGCCCCTTGGCCTGTTCTCACAGGCCTGTGTTGTATTCAGGTTAGTCCAGTCCAGGCCGGTACCTCTATCGGTACCAGCCAGTCCAGTCCAGGCCGGTAGCTCTATCGGTACCAGCCAGTCCAGTCCAGGCCGGTACCTCTATCGGTACCAGCCAGTCCAGTCCAGTCCAGTCAGTCCGCTGGGGTATACCCCAACTATTGTCTGTTTTTTAGATCATTTTTACATTCGCACATTTTGGAGTACGTGCGTTGGAGTCTAGCATGGGAGCTGCGCTGTGCCATCTCGCTCCCCCTTCATCCTCCATCTCCATCTCTATCCCAGGCGGAGCACCACACCTGGTGGATCCGCCACATGAAGGAAGAAAAAACAGAAGAAAGATAACAAAAAGAGGAGGAAGAGCAGCAACGCCTGAAAGAAGAAGAGGAGCAGAGGAGAGAACTAGATATGGTGAGGAGGACTGAGGAACTACGGCTACAACTACAGGCAAACATTGCAGATAAGTGGAAGAAGCAGCAAGAAGAAGGCAGCGGCTACCGTCGTCACCCGAATAGAACGCCTGGTAATTATTGTCGTATCTAGACTGAAAGTTGCACCCAAAAAATACAGATATAATGACCGCGCGTTCTATTCGGGTGAAGACGGTAAAGCTAGTGAGCTGCAGAGAAAGCAGCTTGCCAAGAAGAAGAAATACAACGACCGACGAGTCCGAAGGTCTCACCAATGAGTAAAGTTACCACAAAGGACACAAAAAAAAAGAACAAGACAAAGAAGGTGGCGACGAAAAAGAAGGTGGCTGGCTCGTAAGGTGGCAGAATCATCCACTTCATCAGAGACAAGAGGACAGTAGCAGCACACCGTCTGAGAGCTCATCAGCCTCATTGGACACTGAAGACGACGCTGTGAAGATTATGCAGCTTTTACGACAAGAAAAGAGGAAGACAAAACAAGGAAAGAAGACGCACGTGCGATGCAAGGATAGAAAGACTTCGATTCGAACTTTTGAGAAGGGTGAATGATGCTCGAAAACTATGGCTACGCCAACGACGGCAACAACGAAGAGAAAGTTGGAACCTAGAACAAGGCTCACTGGAAGTGACAAGGGAATTGCAGCGGGCTGCTGCAAACAAGGATTTATGGACTATATGCGGGCAGTTATGAAGCAGTTGTCGACACAGAAGGCCTCACAGATACACGATATCTGCAGTAAACATGGATTCAAACAAGCCAGAAAGGAGGATATATGGTGATGGAGTTGATGAAGAGAGACAGACGGAGATAGCATATGACGTGTTCTTCGTCTCAACACCACTCGTGAAGAAGACAAACACTTTGGAAGATTGGGTAAGAGATGGAGGAGGAGGAGGAGAAAGTAACCACCGGAGATTGGGAAGTCTAGCATGACCACAAGATAGAAGGCCAGGCAAATGGGAACGAACACCAAGGACAATCCTCAAGTTCTCACCAGCACCAGAGCAAGACCGCACATCAATCAGATTGACTAGTGTGAGCTATGGAAGACGCTGGAAGCTTGCATGGCCGAACGTGAAGCCCTCCGGGTGCGGGGCATTTTGGGTGAGCAGATGATAGGTGTGGAGAGGAGGATCACTACGAAAACAATCCTACACATCTTCGCTGGCCAGATGAGATGGTCGAGGAAGTACATCCATAAGATGGATCTGACCAAGGAGACTCGGGAGCTAAAGACCCGCGGTACCTACATCATCGTCCGTCCATGGGCAAAGCATACTTATGTTGGCTGTACGGCACGGCCAATCATGCGGCGATGGAGATAACACATGTTAGCTGCCAACTCGAGAGAGTACTTGGAAAGGCACCGCAAATTTATAGGTGGGTGCGGAGATTCGACACTGAGAAGTTTGTGATCATTCTGATCTAGCACACGATCGAGAAGGATGATTTCGCGAATGAACACGTCACCTTATACATGAACTGTCACCTAACCTCAATGCGATGGGTACAAGGGGACAAAGGAACAAGTCACAGAGACGGAAGGGAATGCGGGAGAGAAAGATGCATAGACAACCAACAGGGGCCCAGTCCGTGGTAAGTTTCAAGACAAAGGATGGATGCGAAGAGAGGAAGTGAAGAGGTCTACTTCAATGCTGGGCAATCGTGGAGTGACAATTGGAAAACAGTGGTTTCCAAGTATCGCATGACCATGTACATATCACTGGTAGGACATCGGACCTTAGACTAGCAAAGAAAGAGTGTAAGGGACGAGGTCGAGTCCCTTTTTAGAAGATAGTCAAGACAGCGACTACTACGGAACGACACATGCGCTTTCTGCAACGCTTACTTAGCAACCGCAGATGGCTTCTTCGTTAGTACGGTACATTACCAGGGGCAAGGTCACACTTGCGTCGATTAGGAGATTTCGACCGTTGATCTTGGCTATTTGCGGTCGGTATCTCTTAATTCGTGCAAGTGGGACCTAGCCCCAGGAAACTAGTCGGCCTGTACCAGACTGCACATTTATTTGCCAAGACAAAGACAAGAAACAAGATGAAAATCAAGATCAACAGAGCACCTCGAAAGAAAATGGAGATTATTGTGCGTAGAAAAGTCACAGGCAAGTACCCGTATTGCTCATCGATCCATAAGGCAAAGGTGAAAAAGGTGGTAGAAAGCGTCATAGACTCCATGATCCCCGAGATTATAGACCGAAAAAATAAAGTTGTTTGCGCTAGCGTCATCGGTCAGCGCTAACGCGACCTCTTCCCGACAGGTTGGTAGATGCGCGAAAGTGAAACGCGCTTTCTCGAGTGGGGGAATCTTTCCCGCCCAGGCGCACCGAGCGGATTTTGAACCACAGACGCACGACGCAGGACCTCACTCCACGCG